GAGTAGCCGCAGGTGGAGCTGGGGAAGCAGGATGGCCACTTCTGTGGACCCCTCGCCCACCCTGCCACCGCCACTCTGCAGGGGAACAGTGTTACTAGAAGCTTCCTTTAAAGAGAGGAGGGGAAACAGGCTGATTCTCAGGACTCAGACTTTGGGGTGGGAGCTGTGCCTTCAGGAAGACTCGGGGCTGGGCTCCAAGGCAGGGAGAAAGCCCTTTCAGCTCAGCCAGGGCTCTGCTACCTACCAAGGAGTCATCCCTTTGGGTGTCAGTTTACCCACTTGTACAGAAGGGGACCGGGAGGATGACCAGGGGCTGAGGGGAACAGTCTGAGAGGGTAAGGGGGCGGGGTCACAGCGGGACTGTGAGCTGGTGGGGTGCCCTGTGGTGGGCTGGGGAAGGGGTCAGGAGGGTCACCCTGATCCCCTAGTAGGTGCCTGGAGCCCTGGATGAGGATTCTGAGGCAGCATTTGGGTTTAACAGATCTTCAATGGGACATGGGGTGAAGGGAGGCCCGTCCATCCCTGGCTGGACGATCTCACCCAGAGCACAGACTGGCCTTGCTTCATTCTCCTCTCCCCTCGGGAGTGTGGTTACATCTGGGTACCACCTTGACTTCTTTTAACCCCACGTTTTTCTGTGTGGCAATTCAGTTATTTTTACTTCAGTGGAAAGCTGATTCACTTACCATAGCAGAGGAAAAGGACTGTAAAAGCCAAAGCTGAACGATGCCGAGTTCTAGTTAGATACTGTCGACTCCCTAAAGCCCAGAGCCTGAGGCCTCCTTCTGTGAAAAGGGTGAGGGAGGAAAAAGACACAGCAGGTCGAACGGAAAGCTTTCTCCTTAGCTAACAAAAATTACTGACATTAGGAACTACTGAAAGGGCGTGCACTCGCCGTAAGACTCGAACCACCTGAGATAGGTAGTGAGTGATCTGGGATACACCAATCCCGCAAAAGCTGCCTAGGAAACAAGTCTGCCGTCCCTCGCACTGGGTCTGGCACACAGCAGCCACCAGTAAGTGCTACCTGGCCCCGGGTCCTCCCAGCTCAGTGAGATTGCCAGCCGCACCTGTGTAGTCACAGGCGTGCTCACTCCTGGCCTCTTCTCACATTCTGCCCCGAAACCTTGTTTATCTTTTCAAGAACAACATGCAGCCTCTCCCCACCCACCCACAAGCCAGGACCCCAGGAATTCCATCATTTTGCCAAGACTTATTGCTAATTAAGTGAACTAGGTAAGCATTAAATTAAACTAGCAGTGTTGCTGTTTCCCCTCCAGATGGAATAATTAGTCATAATGAGCTTAGATAATAAGTCTCTGAATAACAGAGAGTTAACCGTAATTAGGCTGAACATTGAGAGAGAGTGGGGTCAGGAGAGGGAGAGGAGAAGAGGAAGAAGAGGGGAGAGAGGGAAAAGGAGGAAGGAGAGAGATTTCACTGTTGTAATTGGTTCAAGGACAAATTCGAATTGTTGGCAGGGGAGAAGAGCCTAAGCTTGTGTTAGAGACACACAGACTCATGGGGTATGGAACATCAGAGCCTTGGGTCACAAATAGTTTATTTAAAGGTGTTTTCTTTTTTTCTTTTCTTTTCTTTTTTTTTTTTTTTTTAGTTTTTTGGCCATAAATAGGGCATATGCACATGCCAGAGAGAGATAAAGGCACAGAAATCAGCCCCCATAGGGCATGGCCACACCACAACCCATTCTCCATTTGAGCACACACACGTGCCTGGTGTGATTTTCAAGCAACCAAGTCTGGGACTCAAACCACAGTCAGCCATGTGGAAGTCCAGCACTTTAACCCCCACACCACCTGCTGGCCCCTTACTTAAAGTTTTACCAATTAATTCTGTCTACAAAAGAAAAACATGAGCGAGAGAGAGAGAGCACGCCCCCCAACAGGGTCTTCATGCTGTGATCTGACCCCAGCTTCAGCCAGCCTGGACCATCGATGTGCACGTGCCTGGTATGTACAGGAGACCTCAGGACGTGAACCCAGGACTTTTCCGAGAGTTTGGCATCACAGGGTGGTGGTGCATTGTACCACTGTGGCTGGCCCCATCAATTAAACTCTGTATTTCAGCTATGGACACTGAGCCTCAGAGAAGGGGAGAAAGTCTCTCAAGGTCACGTGGCAGAGAGTGAGTCTCTGACAGTATGTGGAGCTGGCCTTTTGCCCCTGGTGGAGGCCATACTTTCTGAGTCCAGCTTCTGATAGTAAATGGAGCAAGGTGAGCTGGAGTAGAGGCATCCTCCTTGTTGGCATCTTGGCAGGGAGGCTTCCTCAGCCAGAGGGGACAGTGTGGTTAAGATCTTTGACTCTCGGGTCACATTGCCAGGATTTGAATCTCTCTTCTGTCACTCAGTAGCTGTGTCATTTTGGGAATAAGTTCATTTCTGAGCTTTAGTTTCCTCATCTGTAAATGGGATAACTGTTCTCACTTAACAGAGTTGCTACGAGTTCACCTGGTATTAGCCAGCACCACCACCACCATTATGGCATTATCAGCACCATCTTACTGAGGTTGGTGTGGATAAAGAGTTAGCAGGGCCCTAACTTGTAAGTCAAGTGGGCAAGTCACTGGACCTCTCTAAGCATCATCTTGTCTATGCATAAAATGGGTGAATGAGCCCTTCTCTCCCTGGGTCACAGGGGAGCTACAAAGGTAAAGGGAAACATAGACACTGATGTTTCAAAATGTCAGAGGAGCTTGCATCATCATTTTGTACTTTTTGAGATCCTGTAGTGACTCCCCATTTCAAAGACCTCAGTTCAGGTGCCATTTTGCTGCAGGCATTTCATGACCTTCACCCTGATCCTTGGGAGTCATCTCTCTCACTCTGCCAGGGCAGCTGCTTCCCTCCTGCCAAACTTACCTGGTGTTAAGGGGAGCTGCGAAGCATCTTTGGAGACTAGATGGAGCTCCATCCACCAGCTGTCCCATGGATGTCAGGTATGTGTACAGAGAAGGGGTTGGGACAGACATCAGTGTCCTGATGGGGCTTTGGTGTGGGTGTGTGTCAAGGGGTAACCTGGCATGGGAGGCCACATGGGCTCCTCAGTCTGGCATATCTTAGCATGAAACCCAGACCCACTACTTACCCAGAGGAGACTGTGACCCTCTCACAACCTCAGGGTTCTCATCTAGATGATAGTGAAAAGAATGCTAGCTTTGGGTAGTGCTGCAAGGACACAAGAGAAAGGGGGAGGGACCAGCAGATGACATAATGGTTGCATCGCTGGACTCCTACATAGCTGACTGCAGTTCAGGTCCTGGGCCTGGTGGCTTAAAATTCACGCCAGTTATGTGTGTGTGCATGCCCAAGATCCCAAGAGGAGAATGGAGAAGGGATTGTGGTGTAGCCATCCCCCCTGGGAGGCGATTTTTCGCTTTCTGTCTCTCTGGTGGGCACCCATGCCCTATAGCAAAAATCTCTCTTAAAAAATTATTAAAAAAAAAATAAGAGGGAATCGGGAACCAGCAGTTAGCGTAATGGCTATGTCGCTGGACTCCCACGTAGTCGACCGCGGTTCGTGTCCCGGACCCGGTGGCTTAAAACTCACGCCGGGCGCGTGTGCGTGCGTGCCCAAGATCCCGAGAGGAGAATGGAGGAGAAGGGATTGCGGCGTGACCATCCCCTCTGGGGGGTGATTTCTCGCTTTCTGTCTCTATGTCTCTCTCTGTCTGTCTGGCGAGCGCACGCGCCCTACAGTGAAAATCTCTCAAAAAAAAAAAAAAAAAAAAAAAAAAAAGAGGGAATCAGAAGAAACAAGGAAAGTGACAAACACAAGGCTTGCAGTCCAGTAAGTTCTCTCCAAAGAGCTACCGAGGCCTGCACAGGGTGGGGCTTTTAGAGCAGGGACCAGTGTCCAAGTCTGAGCTCGAGCATCCCTGGTGGGATCACCCATCCCAGGCCTGCTGA